TGTGGGGTGGAACCTACCAGATAGTAAGCGTGGCTTTCACCCTTTACTTGAAAAGCCAGTAGGGAGTAAGGGACCGCCTCTACACATTTCCATTGTAGTCAACCTATGGACTGATGGTGGGGGAGGAAGGGAAGAGGAAACAGGATGTAACAGGAGCCCTGTGGGGACCATGCCAACCTGCATTGGGGCCACGGGCTGATGGGACCAGGAATTTATTCAGATTCTCCTTCCCAGGATCTGGGAACTGCACCTCAGAGCTCTCCAATCAATTTTTCCAGAGTTGATGTAATTTTGAGGCTGCCACGTGGTCATCTCTTGTCAAGCAAAGGGAGAAAGAGACAAAAGCAGAGAGAAGCCCAAGGAGCAGAGGGGACGATGCCTGGGCAGAGGCGACGGTGCTGGGTTAGGTGAGCCTCTTTGGGGACGGAGTAAAGCGGAGTCACTGCACTCGGTGCCTCTGAACCATGGATCTTCCTCTCTAACCTGGGGTTGAGGGTTAAATGAACCGATGCACAGTAAGGGCTTGGTTCCCAGGGAGTTGCCAGAAGGGGCGGTTGTCATTTCCCTGGTTATAAAAGAGAGCCCTTGGCAAGCCTGTTCTCTACTGTGGGCACAGACAAAGCCTCAGGAAAAGTAAAGTGCTCGGACTGAGTGGCCCGCCAGGGGGCGCTGTGGCCCTCCTTCAAATAAGCATGGAATAGCATTGAGGGGCTCCATCTGCTTTCTCTCCGCCTCTCCATCCTCCACTTCCTGCAAACAGGATATTTTTATGAATGTTTCTTGAAAGATCATTCCTCTCTGTAGAGGCAGGAGCCGTCTTCAAGGGCCGGGCTCCGTCAAGCCTCTGTCCCGGGAAGAGCCAGTTGCCGGGAGCGGCCAGCAGGGGGCGCGGTGGAGGCAAGAGGTGCGCGGGGAGCCCTGGGTCTCTTTGGCAGGGTCGCTGCACCATCAATCACCACGTTCCTCCATCTCAATCCATCTTCCGCTGGTGAAGGAACTGGGGTTCCAGCATCCCCCTTCCAGGTGTGAGGGCTGGGTCAGGCTGCTGGAGGACGCCCTGTGGTGAGGAAGAGGAAAGGGAAGGACCGTCTCGCAATACACATCATTTCTGGACATTTCCTCTCTGCTGCAGACTTTAAAGGGACTTAAAAAAAATTGAGCACAAAAAGTCGGGGAACCAGTCACAATCTCCCCCACCCTTGTCCTGAGATAATAGGGTGCACGCACGTGTTCTTGATCTTCCTTTAATCCTCATGGTAACTTACCTGACACACTTCTGCATCTTGCCCTTTTCCTTAGTAATATGCCTTTTATATATAGAATTTTCTATATGTCTACACAGGGAGCTAGATAGTAGGTGGATGTGAAGTGGGATAGAAAAGATAGAAATAGGTAGAGCTGGATGCAGTGGCCCATGCCTTCAATTCCAGTGACTAGGGAGGCTGAGGAGAGAGGATTGAAAATTTGAGGCCAACCTGGGCAATTTAATGAGACCCTGTCTCAAAATAAAAAATAAAAAAGGGTGGCAAAATAGCTCAGTGATAAGAGGACCCCTGGCTTCAATCCCCTGTACCACTTCTTCAAAAAAAAAAAAAAAAGTACAAAGGAGATACAAAAGAACAAGAAAATCCAATTTTAATCCGAGGTTCTACGTACTTTTCCAAGCCTGTCACTTCTCAAACTAGTCTCTCTTCCAGGCCCTTTACTCCCAAATTCCTGAAAAATCTTAAAAGTTAACTGAAAACTCACCCACTTAAGATAATTACTTTGTGCACGGGTAAATCACTCCTCAATAAATAGATTAAGTAAAGAGAAATATGACATTTTAAGCAACTTATTATTTAGGGGACTTTCTAGCATTATCCTTCTGATCAGATAGTGATGACCACACCCAGCCAAAGGATTCGGAGAACGACCAGACCACCATAAACCCTCTGGGATAATGAGATTGAGGTCATCCCTGCATACGTTCCATGCACACCTCTCAGCAAATTTCCTTTAAAAGAAGAGCCAGAAACTACCCCAAATGTGTCTCTCACCCTCTAGGTGGCTCTCGTCCACCCTTGGACGTGCATTCCTGCTTTCCTAAATACATCTTGGGCTGTGCCTTCACTGAGACCAACATTCTACCCCATCACGTATGCCAAGGACCCCACCCGTCCTGAGTCCCGTTCCCCCCCTCCCTGTGTCTTCTGGGTCTCCTCTCCCATGACAGAGGAATATGCCAAAATTTATGTAATCGGTCCCCTCAGGGGTGGAAATGCAGGCTGCTTGTCATTTGCTGTTGCAAACAACATTGCAAGAAGTATCTTTGTACAAATATCATTTGTGTTGTAGAATTTCACTTACTTGTTTGTTTTGGTACTGGGGATCCAAGCCAGGGGTGTTCTACCTCTGAGCTACCTCCCCAACTCCTCTTTTATGTTGAGACAGGGTCTCCACTAAATTACCCAGGCTGACCTTGAACAGTCAGCCTCAGCCTCCCAAGTGGCTGGGATTCCAGACGTGTACCCACCACTCCCGGCTGCATTTAACATTTTATGTATTTGAACTTATCATGGTGTTTTGGTCTCTGGGTTTGGGTTAAACTTGGTAAACTTTTCCCTATCTGGCAAATTAAAAAAAAAAAAAAACCCTACCTTTTCTTTTAGTACTTCCACAGCTTTTCTGTCATTGCCTGGTTACAGTATGTAAGGTGAGAAGTTAGTGTTCATGTTAGTTCTTCCTCGATGCTTTGCTGAGCACTTAAGTTACTTTGTCTCACCACAGCCCGAGAGCCTAAGTTCCAGTTTAATATCCACATTTTTTTCCCCCAGTACTTGGGATTGAACCAAGGGGTACTCTGCCACTGAGCCACATCCCTAGC